GCTATATCTAAATCTGACCGATTATCACCAATTTCAAAATGGTTCGTCTTTGGGCCAAAAAAATATTGTTTGGAAAATACCATCTTAACCGGATAGTAAATGCGACCTGCATTTTGTTCTCAAGAATAAATGGACGAACGGACGGATGGACAGACGAGCTGACCTGGGGATAAGGTAATACCACTTAATAGGGGTTTCCACCATCAAAATTTCCGACTTTTTGAATTTTTAAATTTTAACAGTGAGACCCACTGTGAGGGTACTAGCTTACCTGGAAATTAGGTAATACCACTTAGGGGCTTCCAAAATATAAAAAGTCCATATTCAAAATCAATTTAAAATATCGAACAAATTTAGTCCAACTTATTAAAATTACTTATTCTTCCAATAATGTTAACTTGTTAACAAATTCCTGTTAATAACATCACAATTTAACTCTCCCAATTACAATATATTTTCACGCACATATTTGAATCCACATTATATTTCAGAGTTCAAAATACTTTCATATGCCCATCTTGGACCACATAATCTGTCTGGTATTTTTGAGTACAATACCTTCCTTATACCATTGTTACTGTAAATTTAAGGCACTGTAGTAATAAATATCCTTAAAAACATTCCCACAAACTTAAGGGAAATTAAATTGACTCCATTACCTAATTTCCCCAAACGCCACACTATTTCCCCTTATAAGCTTAGTTAAAGTAATGACAAAAGAACAAAAAAATAGGATAGAAAATCTCTGACATCACGAATCATTTATTTCATGACATTATATATAAAAAGATCACAATGAATGGCCTCTCTTGTGGCATGAATGACTTCAATTTAATGTAGGACCTTTTTTCCCCTATTACCTTGGGGCCTACACACTGGCATCAGCAAAAGGTCAGTCTATTTGCCATACCTTTTTGTCTATGCAAAGGACAAGAAATGTATATATAAGTTCATGTGAACATCTTTGTGGGTTCTTTGGCTGTCAGACATTTTTTGTTTGTTATAAAACTGACTCATCTTCCGCCAGAAGAATGTGTGTGAGAATTAACATCTGAGGTCCATTAAAATAGACGCAGATGTGTATTTTGTGTTTAGAAATTTGAAATACATATGAAGAAATTGGTGGAGGTGTTGGCATCAGATCCAAAAGTATGTAAAATTACAGACTAATTATACCCTACACCACATAGTGGTAAGGGTATTATATCTTCGTGCATTTGTTCATAGACCATAGACCCATAGTTACTTTTGAGGATCTTCACAGAATCACTTTCTGAGAATCACTGAAGCAGGTCGCATTTATTATCCGATTGAGATGCGATTTTCCAAACTGTATTTGTTGGGCCCAAAGACGTACCTTATTGAAATTTGTGAGAATAGGTTCAAATTTAAAAATAGCTCCCATACATATCTTCAACCGATTTCATGTAAATTGTGCCAATTGGCCAATATCAGTCTAAATGACCAGAATTTGGCACATCCGACTGAATTCATTCATCAAATTTGTTTCAGTACATCAAATTTGTGAAAATCGGTTCAGATATAGCTATAGCTACCATATGCAGGGTGGGATAAAAAACTGCAACAAAGTCAAACGCCATCATTTTAAATTTTTTTTTATTTTTTTGGAATAGAAGCAAAAAATGTTGGAAATAGCATCAAATTTTGGAAGAAGTTTAGATTTATTCGAATTGATCACCTTGTCATGAATTATGACCTTCAAACGGCCATTGAAACTGTCACACGCTGCCCGAATGTTGCTTTGCGGTATTGTGGCCCATTCCCGGCGAAGCGCTTGCTTGAGGAGATCGACACTTTGGTATTTTTTAGTTGTCAACCTTGCCTTCCAAAATTCTCCAGACACAAAAGTCCAACGCATTGGTATCCGGAGATTTTGGTGGTCATTGTGTGCTTGAAATGAAGCGAGGAACCTCATTTTGTAACCATTCTTGGGTGGCGCGTGCTGAGTGCGATGGTGCTGAGTCCTGTTGGAGTGTCCAAGGCCAGCGGCCAAAATGTTTGCGTGCCCAATACACCCTCTAGAATATTTTCGCGATAATATTTGGCATTTATTCTGATATAACGACCGATTAGTACGAGCGGAGAGCGACCATCGGCTATTATGGCGGCCCACACCATCATCATGGCCAGTGCTTGAGTTTTAGTGGCCATCCGAAGGCGTACATTTTGCAGCTGACCTTTTTGGCAAGTAAACACGATCATTTTGTTTGTTTACAAACTGCTGGACAGCGAATGTTTTCTCATCGGAGAAAACCGAATTCGGCAGTTCACCACATTCGGCCAAGAGATGCAACCCTTTAGCTCTTTTGAGTCTATTTTTTTCTCTTGCAGTGTAAGTTCTTGCACTTTTTGGAATTTCAAATGCTTTACCCGGAACTCATTTTTCAATATTTGCCGAATGGAATATTTCGATATGTTTAGCTCACGAGCCATTTTCGGCCACTGCGACACGGGTTTCGATCAAGTCGCTTCTTTACTTTTCGAACCAAAGATAGCCACTTGTGGTTTCATATAAAGAAATCACACTATCACGCTTGAATTCCATCGCGAATAACTTTTTTTTCTGGAAAATTCTCACCAAAACGCTTTTTTACGTTTGTAAAATATTTAATGAGTTGTCACTGGAATAACTTTAATAACTGTCGGACGAGAGGCTTGGAAATGACAGCAGTCTAAAGCTTGTTGCAGTTTTTCTGTATCACCCTGTATATCTGTAACCGATTTCATTTTTTTTGCAACAAATGGCTAACATCAGCCAACATGGAGTGAGTTGTGGCATTTCTGACCTTATTCAGCCTAGAAACAAGTAGATCAAATTTGGTGAAAATCGGTTCAGATATACCTATAGCTCCCATTTATAAGGTCCTTCCGATTTGCGGTTTTAATTCCCTCATATGCGTAATATGCAGTCCACAACAATTAAATTTGGTACCAGATATCTAATATAGTACAAAAATACATTTGCCAAATTTTATAGAAATCGGCTCAGATTTGGATATATCTCCCATATATATCCTTTGTCCGATTACATTTTTATTGCGCAAGTAATGGCTAACATAAGCCCAAATGGAGTGAATTTCGGGACATACATTTCCATTTGGTGGAACTTGGCTCCGATATACATTTTGTTAATATAATCCTTCTCGAAGTGTTATCATGCTCTTTATAGCAATGTTAGTTGGTATAAAATATAAAAATGTCTCCGTCAAATTTAGTGAAAATTGATTCAGAATTGGATATGCCTCCCAGATATTAGTTTCCTCTGAAACCAAATCATAACTGTTCTCAAGCCAAAGATTGATAGGTAGTATGATCTGCTTCAAATAACTTATTTTGTTACGGGAGCTCTACAAAATGAGTACAGTGGTGTAGGGTATAATATAGTCGTCCCCGCCCGACTTATAAAGGATTATTTGGCTCATATACCTTCCAAGTTCTTACTGTGTAGCTACCTAGTATTGCTGGCAATTTATTTAAAGGCTTTTGTTTGAAGAAGCTCAAATCGTTGACTATGAAATCTTCCCTTGACTCTAAAAATTTTATTTCGGAAGACTTTTCGTGACTTCGAGACTTACCTGAAAGCGAGGATATTTTCATCAATTTTTTATAATATTTTTAATCTACCAAAAATGCTCTCAAGAAATCGGGTAACTAGCTTCCTATGGGAATAACTCATTATTTTTCAGCTTACTGGTAATGCAGAGGGTATGTGGTTTTCGTTACTAATAGTGCTGAATGTGGTGGAACACCAGAGTCTATTTTTGGTGGATTTTCTGTGTTTTCCGGCGCCGGGACTTCAACTCATAACCTTCGCTTTATTTTCAAATTCAATCTAATTATGTAAACTGTGATTCCAGAAATATTTGGCCACATAATTTTTTTTCTTAAAGTAAAAACCAAATTCCTTTTTGCTATTTCCTCCAGCTCAGCTGTTCGTTTTCTGCTTCTCAAATAAAGTTACATTCTGTCAAGTCGAAAAAAAATATTCCATAAATTTACCTTGGGTAAATATTCATTTCCTTTGCAAAGCGGACTCCTTGCTACGTAAACATTTTCATGTTTGGTATTTCAGGTCAGTTTCAATTTGATTACTTTGCACCACATAACTTTGGATGACAAACAAAAGCAAAAGAAAAATGAAGAAAACTAGTCAAACAAACGAGTACATTCCTTGTGATGTAACTTCTTAAAGGCCCCAAGAAGAAACCCAAGCTAAACAAAGAAGAGGAAAAACAACAAAATCGTATACATAGCTCTAACAAATTGCCCAACATTATGTTTGGTAGCCAAGCAGCCAGCTAGCCAGGCAGCCAGCAATTGCCTCAAACAGCCACCTAACTAACGAACTAGTTTTCCTCTAGCAGCTCATTTCCTTTGGAGCCATTACACGATTGCCATTCTATGTCATCGGGCAGGTATTTTATTACCTTTCAGTTTGTTAAGGCTGTCTGTCAGCCCGGTAAAATGTCGTAAACAAATCTTTAAGAATTAAAGTGTGCTAGTGTGTGTGTGTGATTAGGTATGTGTGGTTTAATGTGGAAAAATGTGGGACATTTCATGTTGCCAAACTAAATTGAAAGAAACCTTAGCAATTGAAATGGAATGCCAAGCCATTTCTTGAGCCTCTTTTAGGCTTAGATGACGATGATGAGGTGTTGTTTATTAAAGTAGCTTTTCATGTGAGCTTTGTGGTTTTTGTTTTTGGAAATATAAATGTATGAAATGACTCATTTAAGAGAATACCTTTAAAGTACACACATATACACACACTGAAGAGACCTCATTTCCGTTTTGTGATTTTTTAACAAAAGTCGTAGCTTTTTTTGTGGCATAATAAAAAAATAAAATATTTCCAAGAATTACAAAAACTAAACTAATGTATTTAAGCATTTAAAGTATTTGTTGTTTTTAGCCAAAATGACTTTGTTAAATTGGGTACAGATTCTAATGAATGTTTTTATTTTTTATTCTATTTTCAGCAATTTATAAAGTCTAAAGGAGGAAATTATATACAAAGGTAAGAAGACATTTTTAAATGTATTCAAAAGTTGATGATTTAGTGGGGAAATTAAGATTTATGAAAAGAACTATATTTAGAAAAAAGTCACTTGGGTAAAAAAATGTTTTTTGTCATATGAGTTATTTTAAAATAACTTCTGGGAAAAATATCCCAGACAAAAAGCAAAGTGCCTGAATAGGATTGGTGACTATTTCCGAAACCTAGGTATTCCCTGGTATTTTGGTGATTTTTTTTCTAGTTCTAGTTCTTGGCAGAACATTGAATACTTAGTTCCATGTTTTCCTATAGCGAACATATAACGATACCCACCTATATTCGGTATTTTGATAATCCTAATCACATTAACCCACGAAATTGCTTCAAATTTGGTATTTTAGAAGATTTTGGTAGATAAAAATCCTTGAAGTATAAAATTTTCTATTGAGGTTCCCGTTTCGGTATAGCCCCCATATAACGGCCAAACCCTCTTTATGGTTTTTGAAAAAAATTAACAGCATTATGCAAATGGTCTTACGGATATTTGAAGTTTAATGTGAACTCGTTTGAATTTAAATACTTTTATAAATAATGTTTTCTTTACCCAATGGTGGAATGTATTAAAAGTATGACCTGGCCGAACTTGATGTTTTTACTTTTTTTCTTTTAACGACATTTTTAGTACATTTTAATAGCACAGTACATGTAGAACGTTTTGTCACGTTAATCCATACCCAATGCCTATTTCAATTCGTTGAAAATCTTCGCTTCGCCAAACGAAAACTTAATATCAAATATGAGAATTTCAGTACAGACTGTACATTACTAAGTACTTTTTAGTACCCAAAAAAATTTCTCGAATTTCAAAGTTCTAGCTTAAGAAGATTAGTACCCCCAAAAATTCGAATTTTGACGAATATGTCAACACCGTCCGACAAAACTGCATTTGAAATTTGAGAAATGCACCAAATAACAAAACGTCCACCTTATATCATATCTTTGATAATTAGTCCGAAATATCAAGATTCTAACACCAATTATCATTATTTTTTTGCTTGCTTTTAATGCAGATGGTATGTAGTTGTCATTACTAGTAATGACGAAAGAGGTACATATAGCTTGTCCAGGTTGCTGTATGAGTCCTTTCTTTGTTGGGCAGGAGTTTTCCCTAATTATCACTACAACATCTCCGTTCCAGAACGTTCAAGAATCTACTAATTTTCCAAATTAAGAACCAGGAAACTAATGAGACTCAGAGCTAATTTAAGAGGAAAATTTTCAAAATGGCCATGACTGACTCTTTGTTTAAGAGCAATATTTAACATCGGTGTGGGCCACAATTTCAGTTCTGGAATGGTCGAACAATACAGAGTAAATTCCTCTACAACGGTTCAGTAGTTAAATAATTGACAAATTGGCAATGTCCAGTAACTTTATTTGTGGGTTAAATCAGCCTATAGTCCTTTGTTTCAGACTTTCAACACATCTCACAGATTTTGGCTACGAATACTGTAAATATTGGCTTAGACGAACTTTGCATCATGTTCTACATGAGATTCCAGGGAAGATTAAAACTTTTAAGTTGGAATGTATTAAACCTCCGTTTACCCTTTTCTTATATAAGGGTATCACCCCATATTCGCTATTTTGATTATTTTAGCCAAATTGTATGAAATTCGTTTTTTTTATAATTGGAGTTCGAAATATGTATCATTAGCTCTTTTAAAGAAAATTGTCTATATGAGTTCAGATGTTGGTATATATATTATATAATTTAACATCCAGATATCCGATATTTCAAAGGTTTTACAGAAAATTTGTCTATGGTGTTATTATACCCTCCACCATAGTATGGAGGGTATATTAAGTTTGTCATTCCGTTTGTAACTCCTCGAAATATATATTTGAGTTCCCACACAAAGTCGATGCCGATTTAACGATGTCGTCCATCCATCCGTCTGTGGAAATCACTCTAGCTTCCGAACGAAATGAAGTGTGGTTGATAACATTTTACTCAAATGTGTATTATGTCTGCAGGACTTTTGGTATTGAAAATGGGTCATATAGGTCCACGTTTTGGTATAGCCCCCATAAATCGGTCCCTCCATCTATTCGATATTTAGATGATTTTTGATACAATATTCACCGAAATACTTTCACATTTCGTATATGAAGTTCCTAACGGGTACTACAGTCTATGACAATAAATTGTCTATCCATGTCCAGTTCTTCGTATAGCCCCCATATATCGGTACCTCCATATATTCGATATTTAGATACAATATTCACCGAAATACTTTTACATTTCGTATACGAAGTTCCGAACGGGTACTACAGTCTATGACAATCAATTGTCTATCCAGGTCCAGGTTTTCGTATGGCCCCCATATAAAGGTACCTCCCCATATTCGATATTTTGCTGATATCTTAATTACAGCCAAAAAACGTCGGAAGTTTACTTTTGCGCCACCTTCCACATAAACGTGGGAGCTGTTGAAATATCAGACTCGATGTTCACCAAATTCGATTTTTAGGCAAAATTTGACCGTATTTGCCTCTCCACCCATTCAACCCCTTTTTTTTGTACTTGACAGACATCCCGATGTTTTGGGCTGTAATTAAGAAATTAGGGGCCAATCGTAGAATTAATAGCATTTTCGGATAAATCCTCATATCCTGTACATTTGCCCCACCTAGTATCATCCGATTTTATATTTAAGCCCCCCAAATCCGTAATGTGCACTCCATAAGAATGATATTCAGTACACCACATCAGATGAAGCTTGTAAATGCTCTTGTCAAGTTTATTTAAAATCGGTGCAGTTCGGGTTTGTCATGCAGTTCTCATTGCTAGTAATGATAATAAGCACAAATTATGAATTTTTTGCTGGGTTGTGGCGTGAATCCCCTATTTTTTCCATGAGTTTCTTAAAATCGTATAAGGCTGTATGTTACTTCTTTTCCCACATATTTGGCCCCTTTTTAGCACTACAAACATCTACATTCAAGATTCTATATAGCGGTATATCCCGATATTTGATAACTTTTAACCAAAGTTTTAAGAAAAATATGTAAAATTTGATATTTAAAATTCGAAAATTTTTTTTTGGTGTTAGCGACATTTGAAATGAAATCCTAAAGTTTTGGAAAAAACTTTTATTTTCGTGTCGGGCTCATATTTGGATTTTAATCACAATGTTAACTGTACATGAGGATATTCGTCATATTGATGATTATAGGGAAATGTTTTCAATGGTATTATATGAAGTTCAAATATTTAATATTTGAATTGTAATTTATTTCATTATTTATTCCATCTGAAACTGCAAATTTTAAATTAAGTTCTGTCCATAATTCACATGGCAGTGGGCGTCAAATGCATTGGGCATTCGCCTTTTTATACCCTCCACCATACTATGTAGGGTATATTAACTTTGTCATTCGGTTTGTAACTCCTCGAAATACTCATGTCAGACCCAACAAAGTATATATTTTCTTGATCAGCGTAAAATTCTAAGTCGATTTAGCGATGCCCGTCTGTCTGTTTGTCTGTCTGTCTGTTGTAATCACGCTATCTTTCAAATGAATTGAGATAGATGGTTACATTTTGCACACATGTTTATTTCTCCAGCAGGCATGTTAAGTTCGTAAATGGGCCATGTAGGTCCACGTTTTTATATAGCCCCCATATAACGGTACCTCCCGATATTCGGTATTTTGATGATTTGAGCGCCATTATTTCAAAATTGGTATTTGAAGTTCGTAATGAATACTACAGTCTAAGATAGAAAATTGTCTGTGCAAGTCCATGTCTTCGTATAGCCCCCATATAACGGTACCTCCCAAAATTCGGTATTTTGAGCGACATTATTCACCGGAATTGTTTCAAAATTGGTATTTGAAGTTCGTTATGGGAACTACAGTCTGTGACAGAAAAACGTCTATGCAGGTCCAGGTCTTCGTATAGGCTCCATATATCAGTATCTCCCCATATTCCGTATTTTGACGAGTTTAGGTACAATACCCACCGAAATTGTTTGAGATATCGTATTTGACGTTAGCAATGGATGCTATAGCCTGTGACAGAAAATTGTCTATGCTGGTCCAGGTCTTCGCACAGCTCCGATATAATGGTACCTCCCTGTATACGATATTTTGATGATTTTAGCTACATTATTCACCGTTTATTTCAAGTTTCGAATTTGAAGATAGTAATGGCAAACAATGCCTATGTATAGACCCCAATATAACGGCAATATTCGGTATTTTTAAAATTTAACAGAATTTTTAAGGATTTTATTTTTCTTAAATTTCCAATTTCGTTCCAAATTGTGGAGGGTATTCAAAGTTTGGCCCGGCCGAACTTACTGCTTTTTAACTTGTCATATATATAGCTGTAAAACCTCGTATGAGGATTTTTTTATTATAGCGGAATTTTTCAGACCGTTTTTTTTTAGATTTAGAAATTTCTTCCCTTTGATAGAGGGTATTAAAAGATCGGCTTTTTTGCTTGTCTGATTTGAATTGTAATCGGCTCATCTATCTCATCTAGAAAAACTACAGTTTTAAAACTAAGTTATGTCCATAATTCACATGCCAGTGGGCGTCAAATGCATTGCGCATTCGCCTTTTTATCTCACTCTCTTACCATATGAAATTTATTTACTGATGTACGTGAAACGCCTGTCTATTTCAATACTGAGTAATCTTTGAGAATTTATTGCCAATAACGTCAAGTGAAACCAAAACAAAATAAATAAACAGTGAATGAAAGAAGAAAAAAAATCCGCTTATCTGGCATCTTTGGCGCTTACATGAGAGCAACGACAACAACAACAACGAGAAATTGACGCTTATTTGTCTCAGCCATTAAAGAGATTCACTGAAGCGTATTTAAATGCCCTGACAAATGATTGTTTTTTTTCTGATTTCAAAGCATGTACGACGACGACAACATCAATGATGACGAGAAAGATGCTGTCATATCGAAAGAAAAATAAAATATATATGCCTACATGTTC